TACATCATGTAGCCATATTACTTTAAGCCGTACGTATCACGGCTTGGTATATCTGCAATATTGTAATCTTGGGAACCAATAAAAAAATAAATAAAAAAACAACAAAAAAAAACAAAAAACTTAATCCTATTTGATCAAGTTGGGTAGGCTTGTTTTAACTATGTTGTTACAGGCTTTGTCTGTCTTTGTCAGATTATGTCGAAAAACATGGTAAGGACTAAATTGTTGAGAAGATCTCATCTTCTCAGTTAATGAAACTTCTAATAAATTAGAAGGGGAACCAACTGTATCCATCACACAATGGCAAATGTTCAACGCGTTCAATTCATCACTTCTCAAGCAGGACAGCAAGTTTTCTTTGCTGGGTACCGATATCGCCTCAACGTCAGACGACAGACCACAACACATTGGAAGTGTGTACATTCTGAATGCAAAGGCCGCTGTTCTACAACTGGAGACTTCATGAAATCAACAACACCGCACAACCATGTCCCAGTGGTATCTGAAGATGAGATTCGACTCCTTAGCAGACTGCGTCAGCGTGTACAGGAGGACGTCACATCCATTCGGCAGCTGTACGATGAAGAGTTGTCCGAGGTTGCTGACCCAGCGTCTGTACGAGCGTTCTCTAGTGTAAAGTCCTCCCTCTACCGGCACAGAAGCAAAGTGGGCTACCTATGTCAGACTATTCACGTTGTTGAATGATGTTGTTTGGGACAAAGTAGGGGTGAACTTGCGCCTAGTGAAATCCAGATAGACTTTGAGGTGTCAGCCATCAGGGCAGTGGAGGAAATCTATGAGGATTGTGAAGTGCGTGGATGCTTCTTCCACTTCACTCAGGCTGTGTGGCGAAATGTGGCTGAGAAAGGACTGACAAACGACTACAAGGACATCCCACAGGTGCAGACCCATGTCAGGAGAGCAACTGTGCTTCCACTACTTCCACGGGACATGGTGCAGGACACCTGGACACTATGAGGCACGTTTTCCGGTACGGATCTGGACGCAGTATGGAAATATTGGCCCGCGGACTAACAACCACCTTGAGGGGTGGCACCTGAAGCTGAAAAACCTTATTGCCAAAGCCCACCCAAACATCTACCTCTTCATCTGCAACATCAAGAAAATGAAGCCGTAGACAAAGCTAAACGTGCTCAGCTCGACTGTGGTGCCCTCCCCAAGTCACGCAAGCGTGTTTACAGAGAGCTCGATGCGAGCCTTCTGAGACTGAAGGAGCACCTCCAGAGCGGCAGAAAAACGCCTCTTCAGTACCTTGATGCTGCTGGACATCTCATCAAGTTTGCAAAGTGATTGTCAGTTGTGTGTGTAAAGACTGTAAAACCACTGAAAGACTGTAAAACCTATCAGTTTTTCACGATAAATCCATGTCTCCAGGTGGGGGACCCGGAGGCACAGACGGCTAAACAGGCCGCGCTGCGGAAACAAATACAGGGGCGGATCCAGAGATGTGTGTGTGTGTGTGTGCGTGTGTGCGCGCAACCCCCTTTCTCCCCCGCATTGTTTTTTTCCCCTAAAGAGCATTTGGACTTCATGATATATGTGCACCCCCTTCTCCCCAATCCTGGATCCGCCCCTGAAATACCTGTTATACCATAGACAACATCAGTATCCAAGACAAGAGTAAATGCTAAAACAAAGGCTTATGTAGCAGAAAGCGTATTTTACGACAGAAACGTAGCATCATTCATACTACTTTGGTAACCTTTCGAATTCGAATTTGAATGCGTTAAACAATAATATAACAGTGTATAGATCGTCCAGATGACACACCAAACAAAGTAAATGATGCTTGTTCGGTCTGATTTGGCATCCACATTCACTTTTGAATGAAAACATCTGCTCATCATTGGGATATGGGGCAATGGGGTACCCTAACTCCACACTCACTCACTCATAGGGGTATGATAAAACCAACGATGTTAGGTTTTGCGTTATTATTACATATAAATATCCATAATTAAGAGATGTATTCGTACCACTTCATAGGATTTTGATAGGATTAAGTAGAATATGGGCTGAAAGAAATCCCTACTTTAGTAAATACATGTGAAATACAAGTCCTACTCGTGCCACCCGTCAAGATTCGGGTTAGAATTTATCTTCAGTAAAAACCCGTGCTTGTCGTAAGAGGCGACTAACGGGATCGGGGGTTGTCTCCCAAAACCCCTACATCCCGTAACCAGTACCCCTACAATTACCCCACATGAGCCCAGTACCCCTACAATTAGTTAAAACAACATGCGGCATTTACCTGTCTGCCATAATGAACTGACCCGAAGGAGAGCTTACGGGATGGAGTATACGAGGGCGTTCAAAACGTAGTCAGCCTAACTATATTCGCAATGTCCGTTTGAAAAGCTTCCATTTTATTTTGAAGAAATTATTAGCAGAGCAATATCCACAATTTTACACATCACAACACAATGGGGTATAGAGTAGAGAGAGAGAGAGAGAGAGAGAGAGAGAGAGAGAGAGAGAGAGAGAGAGAGAGAGAGAGAGAGAGAGAGAGAGAGAGAGAGAGAGAGAGAGAGAGAGAGAGAGAGAGAGAGAGAGAGAGAGATTCTTTATTTCCTCCAGAAATCAATCCGAAGATTATTGATACATGAATTCAATCAAACATACAACACATTAGTATTTACGTACAGGACAATGTTATTCATAGTTGACAATTGATATGTACAGAAACATTCACAAAGGGATGGCGTCACTTGTGCCTCCATTAAAATACAAACTCAAGATATTGTTTCAAATGATAGACATAATATCATATAAAATATGTTCAGTATAGTATTGGATGACTTCCCGTCATAATCAACATTCAATGATTTGGATTTACATTTAGACGGGGGCTGTTTTTCAAGGACACCACCATTTTAATCTTTCAAAAACTGTGTGATACCGGACCGGGTGGTCAGGCTCGATGACTTGGTTGACACATGTCATCGTATCCCAATTGCGTAGATCGATGTTCATACTGTTGATTACTGGGTCTAGTTCAGACTCGATTATTTACAGACCACCGCCAGTTAGCTGGAATATTGCTGAGTGCGGCGTAAAACAAAACTCCTCCTCACTCACCCCTACTCGTGCACGTTGTATTTAACATCCCTTGATTAGTGTCGTGAGATACGAGGATGGAAGACAGATAAACAAATTCAGACACGATCACAAAGTGACCATGTCAAGGTGAGCTTAGAAAGACCCGACTGCATCCACACGCGAGTTTTATAGCGGATCTGCCGTATAGCTGTACATATATATGAGTCACTTTCTGGAGGTCCCCAGATAAGATAACGGTGACGGTAAAAACCGGTACACACTTGTTTAATAACTGTGACAATTAAGCTAGACATGAATGTGTCAGAATGATTAATTTGATTCTATGTTATTTTTACTGATGGACTCAAACGGACCACTAATTTTGGTTCGTTCAACTGTATAGTTCATTATACCCGTTCAACTAATATATACTCTTCAAACAAAGTAGGGGAATCTGAACTTTCAATTTGGACAGGAAGTATAAGCGTTAACAAACTTTTCAAAGACAGACATCTTATGAACGCGCCACCATTTCTCTTTATCACCACCCCTAAACACAACGCATGGGATGCACGTGCACAACGAAGTAGCCCCATACACGTGCATGGAGTGTCATTCTTGCTTTTGGAGGTTTTCAAGAAGGTTAAATCCCTGTGGACCATTAATTTTGACACACATCTTGTATCACACAGTTGTTAGTGTTTGTTTCTAGGCGTTTTTTGGTTTGAAAACGAAAATCGTACAAATGCAAATTTCACGTCATACGCCAATCATCTTCCTAGAACGATTACTGTACAAACAACTATGGTCATAAGGAAGTGCAAGTGGTGATGCACTCTCAAAACATTCATTATTATCATATCAACATTGACTGACTCAGATATGTCTCCCACTTTCTTCAATCGTACATTAAAAATGAAGTTCCTCAACTTTTCTTGAAGAGTATATAAAGCAAGTGACCGGAACAAAAAAATATTCGTTACATCCATCAGTTCGTTATAAAGGTAGTTTACAATATTGACATTTATAGATATAAGGCACTAACAATTATTCATTCTTGATAAAAAACTATTATTTAAAATTGTGTTGCTGGAAATCGTTGAAACTATTGACATCTCACAGTGTTGATATAGTGAGTGAGTGAGTTTTAGTTTTACGCCGCTTTAAGCACTATTCCAGCAATATCACGGCGGGGGACACCAGAAATGAGCTTTACACATTTTACCCATGTGGGGAATCGAACCCGGGTGTTCGGCGTGACGAGCGAACGCTTTAACCACTAAGCTACCCCAACGCCCTTGTCGTGTTATAATAATACAGACCTGCATGTTACTCAAAACCCCAAAACTCTTTTTGTTTCTGATATATTTGTCAGCACATGCTGTAATCAAAGGGTTCATCAAAATGTTCAACTCCTAAGGCTGTCATCACTTCGGAATATTAAGAAAATACATGTCAAACATTTAGTAGTATGTACATGTGTGGTTACCTTGGTGATGAGTGGATTTAGTTTAACGCCGCTTTTAGCAATATTCCAGCAATATCACAGTGGTGACACCAGACATGGGCTTCACACATAGTGACCATGTGGGGAATCGAACCCAGGTCTTTGGCGTGACGAGCGAACGCCTTTAACCACAAGGCTACCCCACCGCCCCTGTGTTTATACCAGGTACCAATAACACGATAATGAATTGTAGAAAACAATAACTTCATGAACCAACAATCGTGACGATAACTTCAAAATAAGATTGATTTTTTAAAGCATATGAACTGTTTGTTGCGATTTTTCTCAACTTGGCTGGGAAAATATAAACATACACACAGTCACCTTCAACTATGCAACCTAGCTGTTGTCAGAAGCAAGCACAAATTGACTTCCCCAACTGACAGATCATTCTAGCAGACGACTCTTTTGCCGTCACGTGGTCTAATCAGTATCACGTGATCCCTAGTATGATGAAAGCCAGCGTGTGATGTGCATGCCCGAGGTTATGTGGTACATACATGTGAGGTGTTTGATGCGGTACCTTTGTGAAGTTTGACCATGGAATCATATGAAGTGGACGTTGTAGTTATTGGTGGCGGCCTGTCGGGACTGTCAGCGGCGTTTTATTTACTGAAGAAGGACCGGGGTCTAAAAATATGTCTTCTCGAAGCAAAGGGTGAGTTACCGGTGTTGCGATAACGCGTTATAACGAGGGCATGTTGTTATTTTTATTTAGTTTACTGATAATATTTTTTGACAGAGGCTCGATGTAACGGTGTAAAAGTTACCTAAATCTCATTCATTCGTATATGACCTACAAATACACGACCTTGGCTGTCGAACCATGTAGAAGTGTGACCGTATTAACGGTATAATGAGGCAGACAGTATGAGCAGAGAATCACGTAGTCGTACGTCCGATTCTGACTGCATCGGGCTTATCACAAGCAGATGATAACTGTTTGTGTCCATCTCATCTGACATGCCCACAATGAGTCGTTTGAACAGATTTTTAACTATGTCATGAGAAATTAGGTTCAGATTCCATCTGGATAGGTGCCATGATTACTTATCTAAGGGCTAGATAAACCTTAAATCGATATTTCTAAAATCTGTGAATGAATAGGTCATCGTGACTCAACTGTCAAGGAAAATATTATTCTAAACGTTTCAACTGCAAACTATGTACACTATCGTGATAACAACTGTCCTCAAACGCCTATTGTTATCGATTGTTCAAGTAGTTTTGTGAATTACGCATTTCGAAAGAGACTCGTTTTGTGTCCGTTTCACTATGAATATGGATACGTCTCAATCTGAATAAATTAAATGTGATTTTATCACATTTTCAGAAAATACAATGACATGGCTAATTTTCAAATTGTTTGTGTATTTCTTGTTCCTCAGATTTTGTTAATAAACAAATGACGAAAAGACCAATGCATGTCAAGATAGCCCCCAGACGAGATCAATCATACGTTTCCATGCAAGGCTAATTCTATTTTACTTTTTAAATACCCGCTGTAATATCTACGTGGCAGTGCTGAAAGCCTATGTTATTACAACGATCGTCTGTGTACAGACTGGTTTCTGCTTCATTTGAAGGCGCAAATGGGCTCTATGGAGGCGTAAAGATTTGTTCTTCGAGGCGTGTGCATGCTTTGTGTTTGTTTACAGAGCTATACTGACTCCAAAGATCATAAAGTATAATACTTATTGAAAGCAATGAAAATAATTGCTTTGGTATAAACACAGCTGATATCAACAGAAAAGAAATCATCTGTAAAGAGTCCAATCATCTCAAGCACGAGTTCCACCCTGTAATCATCGAATGACACAAACGTGGTTGTGGGTCTGATTTGTCATTCCTGCTTGACAACGGTACAAGAACATCCCTGAACTTCTAAAATGCCACTCAAAGAAGTGGTCCGTTGTGAGACTTAGCAGTCATGTAATTTGACAGAAAACGTATCACGAAATGAGTAAGTTACTGTGTTGTGTTACGTTAACGTTTAGTTTATCACCTGTACAATGTGTGAGTGTATGACTGGTCTGTTTTGTTTCAACACCGCCGCACCCCGACCATACACGCTCACACAACAAACCTTGGTGTATAAGCTACATCGGTTTCAGTGTGGTTTTACGCGGCTTTTAGCATTATTCCAGCAGTTTCACGGCGGCGATACCAAACGAATAGGCTTTAAACCGTGTACTCGTGTGGGGAATCGAACCCGGAGTCTATCGCGACGACCGAATGTTTATGGCTTTTGGGTGGTGTAATGGTTATTTTAGGGGTGGGTGGTGGTGGTGTGTTTTGTTGGGGTTTCCCCACCCATTTTGTTTTGGGGAGGTGGGTAGGGGGTCAGCAATTTTGTACATGTCATGCGGGGGGTGAGGGTGTTACTTGCGGTTTACATACATTTTTTTATGGAGGAGCATGTGTGGTTACATAATAGTAGGGAGGGACATTCACATTGTATATGCTCCTCCATACAAAATCATCATCACCCCCTAGCCATAAATTATGAACGGTCACTCTCCTGCACCAGTTTGCGATTTCCTCCCACACTGGCCTGTGACGCCATGTTGTACGTATACGTGATGCACTAGCTATTGTGTATGGACGTTCATTGTTTTATCGCGATACACAGCACTGCACACGTTGCGAGATCACGTTACAGGACATAAATGGCGGGACAGCTCTTGACAGCAAAGGGATATTTACTTTGGGCTAGTCTTTATGTGTGAAAATGAAGTCTGGTAACATTACTGAATGCCTACGCTATGGTGGTAGTAAAGCCGTAACGGTACAAGCACATCTAGTTGCCTATTACGTGCGCACAGAACATATACCAAGCCAGTGAAGACTAACGGGACATGTCTTGCTGTCGTAAACAGCTCCTCGATCACAACTGTACTTTAAAGTACTGCATCTGGCACCGACTTTCCATTTTGGTTTATATATTTTCGGCTAAAAAATGGTTTGGTCAATTAAAATGATTAAAATTCCAGTTTCAAATACTGTAGATGTTGTTATTAAAAAAAAATATGAAGTAGGACAGATATGGCGGTCATGATCTTGTGTGACTATGTTGACGTGAGTTTAGAGTTACCTCCCTTAAGTTATAAATTAAGTTCGTCATAATTCGTTGTGTTTTTCACAAATACTTTCAACAGGTTTTAATTATAGTACCCTAAATAAGTTATTTATTTTGATTACTAAAAACATCTTTTAAAAAACATTTACTGAATTCTGACCTGAATAATAATGACAAAAATCACTGCTTCTTTCATTCTTTACATGTTTTGAAGTCGCAGGTTCCGACTCAAAACCAAGTTTGAAAAACGTCAAGCTTTATGGAAAGGTGAAATCAAATAAGTATGTGCTGTGTATATATTCTCTTCAAAACACTATTCATTGTGCTCTATATCGAAAGTAGGTCAGCGCTACCCTAACTTCAGCAGGTGTCTCAGGTTTACCGTATCGTTCATACTTGAGTTCGGGCTTAAAATGGCCATTTTTGTAAATTGCTCTATGGCTGAAATATTGGCGATGGGGCGATATATTCTAACCCACTCACCCATATGGTTAATGCTCCATGTTAAGGGCACTAGAGTGAATCGCTGTGGGAAAATATTCCCGAGTCCGCGGCTGTTATGTTGCTGCAAGAATGTTGAATCACGTTTGTGTGGTTACATAAACGTTGTTATACTTGACAACCTTCTCGGGTTGTTTAGAGACAGACCTCATGCTGGCGATTACTGAACCCTAATGTAATTGAGCACTAAAATTGCTTTTCGTTAACGTAGGTGCATGTTTGCGTATTTCTTGGTTATATGGACTTCTTTGTTCCGATTTCTCACTTGGGCAAACCTGTTCTATGTCTCCCCGGGTGAAGTTAGGGACAGACTAGGTCTCTGTTTAGTGCTACCCGTGAAGGTCCGGGTTAGAATTGATCTTCAGTAATCCATGCTTGTCGTAAGAGGCGACTAACGGGATCAAATGGTCAGGCTCGCTGACTTGGTTGACACATGTCATCGGTTCCAAATTGCGCAGATCGATGCTCTTGCTGTTGATCACTGGATTGTCTGGTCCGGAATCGATTATTTACAGACCGCCGTCATATAGCTGGAATATTGAAAATACTATAGAATACTATAGACAGTGGAAAATGTACTATAAAACAGATCCATGATTTGGGAGGTCCGGACTGTGCTGAATTTATGCCGTGTCTTGGTCACCATTGCAAATATTTACATGTTTGTAGATATTTTTGAAATGACTTATTGTTATGAATACACAATTTTATTTAGAAAGTGGTCATGTGAAACACATGTTATATTTGGGATTACACTTTCTCAGTAAAGTACAGATTTTGGTACTTTTGTTGGGTTGAGTCCCACCCGGGATTCGAACGCACCCTCTCAGAGTCCGGCATCTAATCGACAGCACACAAAGTCAGCCGTCTAACCCACTGCCTCAAATTGCGCATCTAACCCAGTGACTCAAATTGCACAGTGTGAGATCTGGCAAATTTGATCCTATTTTGGTTGAAACCAGTACCACTGGTTTGATGTGCCCAGATGCGATAGCCCAAGACATGGTATATTGCTGTACTGTTGTTGACAGCCGCGGACTGTATTTACTCACCGACGTGTCCCATGGGCACTTGAATACAAGTAAACTGTCATTAACTTGGACTGGCATTTAGTCCATGAAATATTGAATGAATGAATGAACTGATGTTTATTTTGTATGAAATTGCCTGGTAATATATCACGGAAAGGGCCCACAGATATTCCGTGTCTTTGTAAATATGAGTGCCGCATTGCGGTAAATACTACCCAAAAGCCTATCTTATTTTCATATAAATATAGTAAGTACTAGCGCAAGCCTTACTCATAGGAGCTGATATGCAGTACTGCATTAAACGGCCACCAGAAGCAGGTACAGGATGTACCTGCTGAGAACGTTTGCCAAACTTAATTAAATTTGATCTTCTTTTATATAAATAATATTATTATTTTACAAAAAAAAGAGGTTTTGTTTTCGTGTGCACTTGTTATTGAAAGCCATCAAATACTTTGATGAAATAATGTACACGTAAGTGACTTATGAAAGGGATAAGTATTTGGTGTTTATGATTTGACGTCAATCGGCGAGTGGGCTGTATATGGTACTGAGCACACAGTCCCAGTTTTCTAACCGGCCGATCCGGAGTGACTGAAGAGTAGGTGACGTGTGGTTGAGGTAATACGGTAACTGCAGAATGGGCGCTCCATCCTGCTATACAATTACAGGTGTAGTATGTCGGAGGGATGGTAATCACACATGCAGCATGCATGGTATATCAAACTGACAGGTTTACACGCTATGCTGTCCTCAGTTGCACATGCTATGGGTGGGCAGGGGGTTAAATTCCACTACACCATACGGCCTGTTATCACAAAGAAACGCTACTACTATACAAACAACCTTGTTTGTTACACAAGATCACACATCCCATGAGTTAGTGTTGGGAATTGGTTAAAATCTCACAATTGATGATTGGTTAATTACAACCGATCAGTCATCAAAAATTATTCGTTAGCGTCATTTATCAAATTCTCCTTGTTATGTTTGTTAAGGCACAAAAATATAGAAAAAGCATGTAGTTCTTTCGGCTTTTTTTTGGTGCAAATTGCACAAAATGCATTTACAAATTAGAGGATGACTAGTATGTTAGGAACATAAATTTCCTCGAGTCTTGAAGATAAATTCAATCATGACTTGGAACGAGCTTGTAGTGCTTATGAAATGTAACGAAAACCAACCCTGTGATAAATGTTGTTAATGCAAACAAGTGTTCCGAAATTGTTTGTGTTCGATTATGAGAAAACATGATCGATTGCTAGGTCGTTTAGTCTTTGCGACCAAATCTTCGATTATTTCAATTAATCGGAACACCACTACCATGAGTAGGTACATTGATTCGAGAACTGAGGTATTCAGCTGAAAATAACATTCTCTATTTACTTATTATTAAAATAACAACTTACTATAACTGAATCCGATCAGATCCGGGGTAGAATTTATCTTCAGCAACGCATGTATCTCGTAAGATGCGACCAACGGGAGCTGGTGGTCAAACTCGCGGTTTTGGTTGACACATGTCATCGTATCCTAGTTACGTACATCGATGCTCATGCTGTTGATCACTGGCTGAGTGCGGCATCAAGCAACAAACAAAACCTCTATTGTCTGGTATGATTAATTCTGTGTCCGAGTGGTTTGTATATATTTCCAAGCCCTGAAGATGATGTCATCTATTACTTACTACGTCCCAAATGTATTAACATGACGTGACTTGAACCATGAACCTATCCGGGCTGTTCTCTTATGTAACAGACCGAATTGGCGGGAGGACGGAGACCCGGCAACTTGACGCAGCAGACGGCACCAAGGACTTTTGGGATCTAGGGGGCGAGTGGGTCGGAAGGTAATACGGATTAGCGTTAATATGTCTGTACATGTACCTCTATACTGTAAATGAGGCCATGTTAATATCGCAAAGTACTTAAAATACATTTTGATGAAATAATCGCACAATTAACTGGAATGTAAGGGTATATTTGAGTCATCGTCTGTGTGGGGATTGTGTCACCATGCCCCTTGATTTTGTTTGAGACGACTAAAATATAGAACGTGTGCACGAATTAGTGATGCAGGTACGACAGGTAGAGCTCAACAATTGTTGGCTCCAAACTGGGTCTTCATCAGTATAACCCATCACCTCAATATATGACTTGCGGTAGCGTCATACCAGTGTTGGCAGTTATGATTTAGGGGCCAGTCATTTATCAGTAGGGGAGGGAGTGCGGTGAGATGACAAAATGACCTGAAGGATATCTTTTGCGTGTTGCCAGTTATATATCATAGATGAAAATGACACGAAATAAGGTGTACATTTGAACATTATTTAGGGACTGGTATATTACTATTACTGGGAGGTAGGAATGAAATTTGTTTACATGTCTTGGAGGGGTAGTTCATGGAAAAACATAATACATATTCGAGGGATAAATATGACACAGTCTGAGGTAATTTTCATCAAGGCCTTTATCAAGGCCCATCAGTGTGTTATTTGTGACAACTGTGTAAAACCAAACTCACTTGTTCTCCAGGCCACAGACGCACCTGCAGTATCTGCTGCAGAAGTTCCGTATGGACACCTTCAACCCCGTGGCCCCCCACACTGAGTCCCCCATCACACCTACCCCCAGACTTGCCTGGAAGACCAGACTCGATGTCTTACAGTTCTCTTGGAAGGTAGGTGCACTGGTGTAACCATCAAGTATGTGATGTTGTGGTATCGATTGGCCTAGGGTGTTTATCTTCATAGAACTGAGAAGTATACCCTCTCTCCCGTTAGCGACTTTAGGGTCTGTCCTTTCATTATATGTAGTGCCTTTGAAGTTTGTCTCTTCAGTAGCCTTGGTGTATGGTTAGAGCGTCCGCCCGGAGAGCGGAAGGTCGCGGTTTCGATCCCCGGCCGCGTCATACCAAAAGACGTTAAAATATGGTACTTGTTGGTCCCTGCCTGTCGCTGGGTATTAATGGGTACAACAAGGATTGGTCGGCTCGGAGTCGGTATAATGTGTCTGAGTGGGGTATTCATGTTTAACTGCGGCATGGTATCTCAGTGGGCAAACCGAAACATGAGTCTCATTAACCTATTCAGACAATGACCTACTTTTCAGCCGATCCGAATTTTCTCGTGTGAATTTGAAAGAGACAAACAACTATGGTAACACTGAATGTCAATTCCTTGTTTCATAAGAAAATGGTATTTACAAGTTAATTTTAATTTAAACTTAAATAACATCGTACTTCTATGTTTTATGGCGAGGAGTAGGCAGCATGACCTTAACTAAGACGTCACAGACTGCCCCTGTTTGATGAGGTCGTACAATGATTCACAAGTCATCTGGCTCACTGGTTAAACACCAGATATGTGTTCTTTGCGCTTATTCAGTGTAGTTTTGTAACGTACAATGTGATTGATGTAATATCAAGTCCGTACCAGACCGCCAAACGTTTCTAGCGGCAGAGCCTCGTTTTGAGATTTCCACGATTTCCGTTTGTCAGAGCAGCTGTACGACAGAGCACGCTCCACGACGTGTTTGCAAGGATTAGAAGGAGCGTAGTATTGCAATATACAAGTGCTTAGATGTATCAAATACTACAGATTACTATTTATGTATCCAGTAGAATGAATTGGTCTAAAAATTCTGGACTGGTTATTGTACTAAGTTGCGCAATAGGACGGAACCCAGTCAACAGGAAACGAGACTGTTGTGTAATCAATGTTTTGACTTGCTAGCACTATAAAACCAGCTTAAGTCTGGGCTAGTACAAGCAGCCACACATACACACGCATGCATGTCGTCATATGAGCAAAATATTCTTAAGTACGACGTTAAACCCCTTTTTACCTCACCTTGTGGCTTTAGTAGATGCATTGGGAGAGTTATTATTTTCAGTCAAACAATTCTGACCTTCTCATCCCTTGCCGCTATGCACTACGATAATGTTTTATGTATTTCATGTAGGAAGCAGCATTCACTTTCAGTTTATCCTTCTTGACTGCACATAATCAACGAAGACCTATCTGTTCAACAGCTATCTCTGACTCTGGACTTTCTTTGCTAAAGCGCTTTGAGCGTGCATTGATGTGTGGAAAACGCTATACAAATGGAACTATTATTATTATTATTATTATTAACTGATGTATAACAATTTATAACGACATATAACAATCTACCTGTACACAAGTACAGTGCACCCTGGTTATAATGCCACCATTTGTCCAGGAGAAAACATGGCATTATATCCTGGTTGGCATTATAACCAGGTAGGACAGTTTGAGGCCCTGTTGCTTCACCGAAAACAAGTCATTACGTTGTTGATCATTCTTAATATCATGGTTACATAGCAAATATTTGTATGTAATCCATCTTTTTACGGAATTTTGCGACTTTCCTGTTAACAAAATATCACAAGGATAGGGATATTGTTTCCAAACTGATATATCAGTTATGTCATTTTGATTATTCTGTGTTGCCATGGTAACAGCTGAAACGCCTGAAGAGTCGCCTATCACGTAGCGACATCAAGAACTCGGTGGAGGCGCTCAAGTGGGATGGCATCACGTTCGAGAAATACCGGGATGACAACTTATGGACTGTAGGTACGACACTGTACAGCAATTACTAGATAACGGAAACAGCCCCCCAAAACCCATACCAACTAGATATTCCTTATAAGTGTCTTGTAATGTATGTCAAAACCAAACATGACAGGGATTCTTGACGGCATGTCAAATTATGGGCAGACGGTGCCACAGGGGCTTGTAACGCTGACAGTAGCATCAAGGCTCATACATTCAATGACGGGGTATTAGCACTGTAAATAGCTTATGGCACTATTTGTGGTGCTAATACCCCGACGTTGATAGCGGGAGTCTTGATGCTAGTTTTTCAGCGTTACAAGTTCAAAATGTATATTGTTCTATTACACCGTCTTTGACTTTATCAGCCTTGATGCTGGTTTTTAGGGTTACATTGTACAAGTCCCTGTGGTTAAACCCTATATCACCCCACCCTTTATTCAAACACAACAGTTGAGTCTACCCACAGTCTTCTTTTTAGCTCGCTTGTTCATATGGACATGTCAGTCCTGAAACCTTGCATGGGTGATCCAGTTGATTGTTTCTCTACAACAGGGGCAGATTAGGTTCCTTAGCATCTTATGTTTGTGGTAAGAGGATGGTTTGTCGGATGGTACATCTGGGTGTTTGCAGTTAGCTGCAGGCTAACAACATAACATGTTGCTAGTAATATCCCTCTTCGGTTTGCCTAGTCCAGACTCCACCACTTACGTGCTGCCATCACACACATGGAATATTTCAGTGCGAATTGAAACGAGTAAACGAAGCTAGATGTGTGCTCACTATAATCCTGTCTGATTTTATATAGGCGCCAGTCTAAAATGTAGATGTGACACAGTAGGTTCTGGTTTGTTTCAAGTATGTCAGGTACTATACACTTTATAGGGAAAGCTATCTACGTAGTGCCGCTTTACGTGGTACTGGGATCATTTCAGGCCTCCTTCTCTAAATAAAACAGACAGAGTCTCTGATCTTTGTTCTTAGATATGCATTTATTTCGTCCGCCATCATCTTTTTCTCCACACCATCTCATGACGTCATCGTTTTGTACATACACAGAAACTATTTCTAAACAAAAATGAGACTAATTATCATTGCTACAGTGGCTGTCTGTTTACTGATGTAAATATAACAAAATATAATGATGTTAGATTACATATAAAATAGAATAGTGAATGTCTATTTTTACATTCAAGCTATTTCTAAAAAGAATGAGACTAATTATCATTGCTACAGTGGCTGTCTGCTGAGTGATGTAAATATAACAAAATATAATGATGTTAGAAAATAAAATAGAATAGTGAGTGTCTAAAATATAATCTCATTACATAACAACTTTATACTACACTGATTCTAGCGTGTTGATGCCTTCCATCAAAGTTTTGTGATTCTTCTTTCAGAGGCCAAGAACCTTGTAGATGCGGCATGTCGGTGTATGTTTGGACTGTCGCCGGCAGAAATGACCCTGCTGTACTTCCTCATGTACATCAACTCGGCTGGAGGATTCAGAATATTCACCACACCCGCAGAGTTCACCGGCAGGGAGAGCAGGGTCAAGGTCAGCTCAGCAGATGTTTCGGGGAGTTTACAACTTAAAAGAAGTTAAATACCACCCAATTCTTGTGAGAGTCAGTGATCATTGTGTGAAAGGCTGGACATTTATTCACAGGTGTGCAAATATGAAACTGTTGTTGGATAACCGCCCAAAAGACTTATCTCTTCATAAATACATGAGTACCCGTGAAGGTCCGGGTTAGAATATTGTTCTTCAGCAACCCATGGTTCTCGTAAGAGGCGACTAACGGGATCGGGTGATCAGGCTCCCTGACTTGGTTGACACATGTCATCGGTTCCCAATTGCACATATCGATGCTCATGCTGTTGATCACTGGATTGTCTGGTCCAGACTCGATTATTTACAGACCGCCGCCATATAGCTGGAATATTGCTGATTGCGGCGTAAAACTAAGCTCACTCACTCATAAATACATGAGTGGGATCGACTATACTGAAGGATTATTCAGTGTACACCAGTGTGAGAAATCGAGCCTGGGTTTTCAAGCATCGAACGTTTTTAATGAGGAGCTTTCTAATCTTGACTTAGACATGCATTTGATGCATAATGGGAAACTGTTTAAACCCTATCTGGTCCAGACCGCCTCCGTGGTGTACTGTCAGCACCCGTAAACCATGCTACTCTGGGCCAATGCTCTACATTCCTTTATACTGTGGATATGCCGCCAGATATTTAACTGGGTTTCGCTTAAGTGTTCTTGTAAATATGGTGCATAAATATGCAGTAGTGAATTATGATGTCATTTGCCTCACACATTTTAAGAGTCAAACAACATGTACACGATCACAGTATGAATGAGTGAGTTGGGTTTTACCAGTGTATGAAAAAAGGCCCTCCCCTCGCCCGAGACGGTCAAGATTTCTGAGGGACGGTCTAAATTTACAGGCTAGCCAGCCCGATGGTCTGGTAAATTTTTTAGATATTCCATACATCTGAGTAAATTCACCATATTTGGTCTGGTTAAATCCATTTTGGGTTGGTGTCATTTTGAAGTTACCAGCCCTGATGTCTGGCTTGATTTTTGGCGGCAGACACCAGGAATTGGGTTCACACATTGTGCACATGTGGGCATCAATATAACAGCGTGGGACAGACAATACTTTATTACCTTAAAAGGAATTCGTTTTGGTTCACGAATTCCATTTAAGGTTATAACACCTGGAATTGGTTTCAGACATTGTGCAGTGTGCACATGTGGGAAATCGAACCATCGGGTTATCACACACCGCACGTTGACTATGAGATAAATGTTTGCATATTGATTGGAGTATGTTTTCAGGGTGGAGTTCAACAGCTGGCCACGCATATGATGCACAAGATCGGCAAGAAGAACGTGCACATGAACCAGCCCGTGACGCATATAGTCCAGGTAGAATGCATACCAGTCAGTCAAAACGAAAAATTATATTTATTTATTATTATGCATACCTGTTTTGTATCTTTATCATGATTACATCCTCGACAGCTATGTAACAGTTAATAAAGAATGTTAGACATTTTGTTTCTAGAAGTCGGGGACAAGGTAACCCGATTATGGTTCTAGATTAGTAATCTCTGAACTGACCCACCGGTTTATACCAAAGTCCTAAACATGCATCACGCTGGTTCTTCTCCCACATAAAGCTGACAGGCCGTGGTCTCGGCAGAATGTTCCATTTTCCCACTCACTCACCCTCTCTTGGTAAAATGGAATACTTTAAGAAAATGTAAGACGGTTTGGAATAAGTCCCCAGCACCCCATTGATGGTCGTAAATAAGTGGTGACAAAACTAAATATGGTTGACTGGGTTGTCAAGCTCCCGGGTTGGGTTGACTGGGTTGTCTGGCTCCTGGACATGCATGGTTGAATGGGATGTCAGGCTCTAGGACTTGTTGACTGGGATGTCAGGCTGGACTTGGTTGACTGAGATGTCGGACTCTAGGACTTGGTTGACTGGGATGTCAGGCTCTAGGACTTGGTTGACTGGGATGTCAGACTCTAGGACTTGGTTGACTGAGATGTCAGACTCTAGGACTTGGTTGACTGGGATGTCAGGCTCCAGGACTTGGTTGACTGGGATGTCAGATTCTAGGACTTGGTTGTCTGGGATGTCAGGCTCTAGGACTTGGTTGACTTGGTAGTCAGACTCTAGGACTTGGTTGACTGGGATGTCAGGCTCTAGGACTTGGTTGACTTGGTAGTCAGACTCTAGGACTTGGTTGACTGGGATGTCAGGCTCTAGGACTTGGCTGACTAAGATGTCAGACTCTAGGACTTGGTTGACTGGGATGTCAGGCTCTAGGACTTGCTTGACTTGGTAGTCAGACTCTAGGACTTTGACTTGACTTGGTAGTCAGACTCTAGGACTTGGTAGTCAGACTCTAGGACTTGGTTGACTTGGTAGTCAGACTCTAGGACTTGGTTGACTGGGATGTCAGGCTCCAGAGCTTTGCAGACTGGGCGTCATTGTAGGCGGACAGCTTTGGACATTGTTTCATATCTTCACTCGATTGTATGATATACTGTGATAGTGCTGGAATACAAACCAAAGGATACATATATCTTCCAATCTGTTTTTCAAGCAAGTAATGATGCATTTACTAATTATGAATGATTCCCTTCTTTCAGTCTGGGGAAAAGGTGACAGTGGTAACGGAGAACCGTCTGCAGGTTCAGTGTAGCAGGGTCATCATGGCGATACCACCACACCATGCAGGTGATTTCGGCGGACTTCGTATCTTTACGTAAATTTGCTGTAAAGGCAATACACGGACAGTAAATAACACCAAGCTTAGTGCGTAAAGAATCGTTTATTAAAGATGACGTTTATTTATCCGCTTTTTGACGACTGTAGTGTAAGTAGAAATATATCACAAGGGAGCAAGTCAATGAGCCAAGCTTTGTTTTTATAGAAATGTAAAGAACAAACAAACAGGTGGTATTAATTGCGTATTGTTTGATTCTATCTAGAATTTGGAAATATTCATCTTATGGTATGTACAGAATGAGGAAAAAAGAAGTCGTTACCATATGCTCCTGTCGGATAACATCCACAACAGTCGTTCCCTTAATGATATAATGCATTATTTCCAATGGACAAAAGGTGCAGTTTTTATACTAGTACCATCATTTCTGCTTCAGCCAGAATCAAGTTCACGCCTCCCCTCCCCTCGAGGAAATTGAACCTCCTGAACAGCGTGCCTTTAGCCTTCCTGGTCAAATTTGCGGTCACCTTCGAAGAGCCGTTCTGGAAGGACAGTGGGCCCGATAAACGCCACTTTGGATTCCAAGCAGTGTTGGAGGACCCAGAACTTGGCCCGATAGGGATTGCGTATGATGCAACGTCTGCCAGAGGGAACCCAGCATTGGCGGGCTTCCTGTCGTCTGCGTGCGGCACAGAGGGTGATGTGAGTAAATTGTGTGAATCCTCCAGCATTCTGGCCAGTCGTGGGTGAGTGTGTGAGTGAGTGAGTTTTTTACGCCGCTCTTAGCAATATTCCAGCAATATCACGGCGGGGGACACCAGAAATGAGCTTCACACATTGTGCCCATGTGGGAAATCCAACCCGGGTCTTCAGCGTGAAGACATTGGGAAAGGGGTGGCCCAGTCGTCTGAGGCGCCTCAGTTCGCTATGCTGAGTTGCGTCCCTAAGGCATGCCAGAACTCGTGGTTTGGAACCACTTGATTTGTTTCTGTTTTGACATCGTTTGATCGTACCGCCGTAACGTCTCAGACCTGCATGAATTTGAGCTTTGCTCTTCGTGTAAAACGACATGCCGTGATATAACCTGGAGTGTTTGTCTACTTATTTAGAAGGCGACTTTAAATGGTGGAATAAACTTGTACTAGTAGCATATGTATTGGCTGATTGCGTATCAAAGAACCCAACAAGGACCTCAGCTCATACTGGTCCATAGTCGATTCTTTACATTTCCGACGTCAGAATAATAATTGGAATATTGATGACAGTGGAGTTTTAAAACAAACAAATGGACAATTAATGATGACTAGCTGCACAAGACGAACATAGATTCATTCTGAATAAATATGTTTGAAGAAAACATGCGTTTGTATCGATTGTATTAACATGGACATCATACAATGTAATTTCTGCGACAGCCTCGAAGACGACGGGACGCCATATTTGACCTTCTTGAGAGCGTCCTTGGTCCGAATGTCCGGCAGTATTTAGATTTCGTCCAGAAGGACTGGAGCAAGGAGCCATACAACGGGGGATGCTTCCTCAAATCGCTCATCCCAGGGACCACCAAATACTTCAACCAGGACCTTAGGGAGCCTTTTGAACGGTGAGTGGAAGTACCTGGGAAGAATATTCTCATGGAGAATTCTTTGAAGTAAAAACTTAGACTTGGATACAAAAGTCAGTAGACCCGTTGCGATACAGGGTATGAATTTATGTTCCAACGTATGCTTGTCATAAGAGGTGTCTAAAATGTCAGTTACTTAACTGTCTGCTTAATTAATTAAGATGCGGTCAAATGTTTGGAACATTAAAGATTTAGGCGTTAAACGGCAATAAAACGTAGAACCTTACATGTGTGTCATGCAAGTCTTCAAAAGCCCAATTTCATTGCCAGCGAACTCAAATGTGTGTAGTTGTGCAGTCTTATATTTTAGAGTACTTTAATTTTACAGGGTTACAGTTTTACACGTGGTAATAATTACCACTCGGCCTATTCTTTGTCTGATCATAAATGTTACATGTAGATAAGCATATGAATTCACTGTCGCCTTTTCAGGATCCATTTCGCTGGAACTGAAACAGCAACAATTTGGTGCGGGTTCATGAATGGTGCCATACAGTCAGGTTTCAGGGCAGCAACAGAGGTGAGACAACACGGCAACCACGGATTATAACCCACGGTGGTTTAGAGTTGTGCTGAGTTGCGTCCCTTTGACATGCCAGGAAACGTAGATCGTGGGCTAGAGATGCGTTCTGAATACCCTCCCAGGACAAATAGTACCGTTCTACCAAGATAGTTCCAAGATGATCAGAACACGCATAGCTTTACTATGATCGCAATACTACTGTCACGTATTAGAGGGGCGGATCCCAATACCGTGACTGTGAGTCACACCGAAGGGTGATACCTCTGCTAGTTAATTGTCATGGGTCTTTTGTCCATGAAGCTTTGATTTACATGGCGTCAACGTCTACTCCATCTACTAATATACCCAAATCTGATAATCACATGGTGTCCAGTTAGTCCATGAAACGCAAATATTCATATACCCTTCAAGGTCAAGATAGAGGGGAGTTGAGTCTTTCATATAATGTCCTCGGAATAGACAGATTAACCTTCACCTACAAAATTAAAGGCCCAGGGCACCTCCAATGATAAAGGAGTCATATGAGCACCTGTAAAGTGAGTGAGTGAGTTTGATTTTACGCCGCTTTAGCTATAGTCCAGCAATATCACGGCGGGGGACACCGAAATGGGCTTCACACATTTTACCCACGTGGGGAATCAAACACGGGCCTTCGGCGTGACGAGCGAACGCTTTACCCACTAGGCTACCCCACCGCCCCTCCTGTAAAGTACTGAAATGGTATTGTGCACTGTGCTGTTAGAAAACACTTCGCACGTGTAATGAATCAACGATCATGAATCAACGATTGCGTGGACAATACTACAGTAGATATGATTGATGGTCGGATGAAATAACAAACACCTTTAACCGTTGATGCGCAGCTGGTACAATGTCTAGTGTTGTGTGTACGTCGGCACGCCGTCCATTCTCTCATTTGTGGGCACTGCATACACATTTGTGTAGGGCATAAAACCGTGAAAATGGCCAATGATAAACAGACACGATCAATTTCAAGCTGTACAATTCCTGTTTGTGCTGTGTAGGCTAGAGGGCGATAGTCATCTGTGAAAATACAAACTATGCTCCACGTCTGAGGATATAATATTCTGTGCTTTACTTTAATATTGAAATTCTATGAATATTTTCGCTCCTCACGCCGACGACCCGGGTTCGATTCCCCATATGGGTACAATGTGTGAAGCTCATTTCTGGTGTCCCCCGCCGTAATATTGCAGGAATAGAGCTAAATGCGGCGTAAAACCATACTCATTCATTCATTCTATGAATATTCTTTTCCAGGTTTTGTATCATGTACGACCGCAGATAATTACCTCCCCTGATCCCGAGGCGCACCGGTTTTTCGAGGATGACGAGAACAGATTCGGCGATGACACAAATCTGATCAGGTGGATGTTGTTTGCAGCAGTCGGGGCAGGGTTTGCATCGGCTCTGTATGTTGTGCTCAAATCTGACAAAGGATTAGCCAGGAACTTAATGGACAATATACGTATAGTATTTGATTGATTCGCATTATTTATTGGATGTTGGATATAATTCATATTGACAGTTGGGACCCACAGTGCCAGTCACGAGACGTTTCCAGATCTGAAACCAGTGCTGTTAATTCTTGTAGGAGGTGATTGTGACTACCAGTGTGTGGAGGTTTTGGGTGATGCGTGATGAAGCGCCAGTTAAATCCTTGAAACAATCTTCAGGGGATATATTTTATGTATTTTCAGATGCCAAAATATGCTCTTGCATTTTCCATGATGATGATACGGGCCTTACAACAGACATGTATCGTTCATCTCCTGAACAACCTATAGCAGCAAATTATGCAATGTATAGTTATGGTGTGTGCATTTGTAAATTTGTTTCAAACATGGCAGTATTTAAGGAGAGGCTGGGTATAGCCGTTTCCTAGCATTTTGCTCGTGATGACATTAACATGACATTAACATGGTTACAGACCGCCGCCATATAGCTGGAATATTGCTGAGTGCAGCGTTAAACAACAACCAAACCATGGTTACTATTTGTTTCAATTCTATTTTGTTTTATGTGGTGTTTCCGGATGAGGGTTTCCGTAACTTTCTGTTTACACAAAATCATTCTGGATTAGGCAGGATCTTTTCGCTCCCTTTTCGAGAGGTATTGTAAGGAGTAAAAGATTTGATTTAATTGAGACTGACAGGAAAATACACAAATTTGTTTGATGTTTTCTGTTTCAAGTTGCATTCCACGCATTCTCTTCAAAGTATGTACTGGTAGGTACATGTAAACAGATATGAGTACATATATCTCATGATATCTTACTGTTTCCTGCAAGTTTAGAAAAGATTGAAGAGATACATATTTGTGGATTGCTGCTAGGTCGTGCAGCCAATGTTGAATAACATTTCACCATATACACACAAACACTGCAACTTACACGCACATTGGATTCAAACAAACTACGACATGGCGGCGTTAAGTCTTAAAGATTCTTCTCAGTTATTAGAGAAACTTTAGGCAGAACGGCCATACCGAGAGAGTTCATACAGCATTGTAATTCTGACCCGAATGTTTATGCTATGTATGTCTCTTGTGATTGTGTGCCAAACGGGTGGTTGAGTTCAGGCACAATATCGAGTCATTGGTAATCAAAACTGTAAAGTTCTGAAGTATTAACTTACAAAACATACAGAAATAAATGCGATTTCAAAGCAAAATTTTTGTTTGGTTTTGTGTAGTCAAAGTGTGCCTTTGTAGTTATGAGCAATGGCCAAAACGGCGACCTTGCTGAAAACAATCAATCTAATCTCGTGATAATAATATTTTCACTCGGTAAAGTTCCTCCCGTTCCCCCATCCCAAATAATATTTATAATTTAATATGTCCTAAAATTATGAACAAAACCTAACAGAACAATTACTAGAAAACTCACAAAAATAACTAAAAGTCCAAAAATTAATTGCAATATATAGGGTCGAACCACGTTGGGTTACCTCTGTTAATCTGCGGAAGAAAGAAGTGGGGAACGGAAGGAACTCACTTTTAGAGCGGTTGGGTAGCCCAGTGGTTAAAGCGTTCGCTCATCACTTCAAAGACCCGGGTTGGATTCCCCACATGGGTACAATGTCTGAAGCCCATTTCTGGTGTCCCCCGCTGTGATATTGTTAGAATATTGCTAAAAGCGGCGTAAAACCATACTCACTCACTCACAAGGAGCAAGGGCCCTACGTGGTCAGGTTACGAAGTTTCAAAATCAATCTGACACACAGTCTAGTGCTGTGAACCTTTCTCACCCGGATCGAACAGTGCTTGAAAACAGCGCTTGTTCTGCGTGATTTATTACAAGCTGTCAACCTGACGACACGCATTAATGATAACGATATCAACAGAGATGTTCTCATCTGTTGCTGTCAGGAATACTTGTACAGCAAAACATGTCGGGAATATTAAAAAGTATGTAGGGTGCTCATAGTCTGTACTTTATGTAGAAAAGGTCACATCAACACTTGATAAGAAAGGTATATGCTATATTACATAAGTAGAGAATTAAGATAAACGGTTATTTTCGCGTATTTTTTGTTGATGACGCACTAGCGGGAGATTCGATTTGGCTCAGTGTGGTTTCAGACCCACATAGCCAATTCAAAGATGTTTGATAGCTTTCTTTGGTCTGTCTGGTACCTGATGCTGGGGTGGGTGAAAGTGGTTTCACGCCGGCTTTAGCAATATTCCAACAACATCACGGCGGGGGACACCAGAAATGGGCTTCACACATTATACCCATGTGGGGAATCGAACACGGATCAGCGGCATGACGAGTGAACGCTTTAATCATTAGGTCTAAATGCGTTTTATTTTTTGTATGTGTGGTCATATAACTGATTTGAAAATGAGGTTATTTAAGAAAAGTAATACACTTTCTCTTGTCAAGTGAGAACCAAGCTGAATAAAATGGAATTTTAGATGATTCAATCTGTGACTTGAAAAAACGACACTTTGACAGAAAGCATATCCATGGTAAAAATATCATAACAAATATTTGAACACACATAAAGCCATTTATATTCATATTGAAATGACATTTGTCTGTTTTGACGTTTCTGGTGCTTTGGTTGTATATGTGCATGTGCTACTATGAAAAGCGTGCATGCTACATGTGTACCCGTCATTAAGTGAGTGAGTGAGTTTAGTTTTACGCCGCGCTCAGCAATATTCCAGCTATATGGCGGCGGTCTGTAAATAATCGATTCTGGACCAGACAATCCAGTGATCAACAGCAGGAGCATCGATCTGCGCAATTGGAACCGATGACATGTGTCAACCAAGTCAGCGAGCCTGACCACCCGATCCCATCAGTTGCCTCTTACGACAAGCATGGGTTACTGAAGATCAATATTCTAACCCGGGCCTTCACGGGTCCATTAAGTAATTGTCAGGTTTGACTAAACTGTTATTAAAGCGCTTTAACTTGGAAAATCATCTAATTTCCTTGTTGTTAAGTAAATATGGGACTTCCTCAACTGACCACTAACAAAAAATGGCAAGTTATTGGTTTGCGGAATGTTAGCATGTCATGGAGCTGTTTTCAGAGATGCTGGTTGTCATCTATCGACTATCAGCCGACTGAAAATATCAGGAAACTGATTCTGTTAAGGACCGTCAGCGTTCAGGTCGACCACGACTGACAACACCCAGTGAGGATACAGCCCTTCTCAGAATCTCATCTATACATGTAAATGGTTAAAAACACAGTGGCTTCCATATCGTCGTTTGTCCGACAGTATCGCCCGAAATCGCCTCAGATCGGGTGGGTATAATCTATAGACCAAGACACCTCAGTCGTCCGTTGTTAGCCACAAAGCCAAAACAGCACAACCAACATGTGTCAAGCGTCTGAGGAATACGCATTTAAGTATTCCTTGAGGGTCGGTTTTTCCAGACAGTAAGTTAAATTCGGGGTTTGGATAAGTCCTTTGGCTATGGTTACTGGTAACATATTGATACTATGAAAAATACGGGTGTTGCTATACATTTTCCCATATAAATATGCAGTCGCCGAAATGAAACGATTTAAGCGGTTGTAATTATCTGGAATATCATGGAGTCTTCGACTTGTCGGTCAGTCGTCAACAGTCGCCACTTTCTGTAAACTGCAAGAAGACTTATCCCCTAATCGATGAATGTTATGTCCGAAAATACTACAAACTAATCAGATGCTTTAACCATTGAAGTGCTTTGATAAAAGTAATCCTGAGATCTTAAATCTGTTATAACAATATGTGATTCTTTAAAGAAAATATATGTACAGTCATCTTGACATTACAAAGTATATAGGTTATAGAATTGTGTTGCATATGTCCTGTAAAAGATTTAAATCCACACACCTGCGTTTGTTCACACGTTTTGCTAGTGAGTATTTTCTCTGTCGATCTGTTTGGCTATCCAGGTGTATTTCAGTCAAATATTTGTTTCGATATGTAATAAGAACTGATAAATATAGCCATATCAGTTTCAAACTAATACATTTTCATATATACATAGTCAACTTTTATCTTAAAAATTGTGCTTACATTTCATTCGTCGTTATTGGAGACGTAAGATAATTATCTGTTTTATATATTAGTATTCATCTAAGATACATATCCTGACGTGTCGAGGTATTTTTCTTATCCCTTTCAGATACAGACATTATGTTAATAGCAGATTTCCGATAACACATACATTGTGGGACATGCAGTTTTCCATCAATAAACCTCTTTACAAATTATAAATATTTTCATAAATATTATATAGTTTATGATTGTTTATGAGGGAAAAATGATTTTTTTTCTGAATAACGGGATTGTGCTTCGTTTGTCTTATGTATATACATACACCATGTCACCCCCCACCAGTTTGTTGCTTTGGGTTAAGTTTCTTTCTTATACATTCATTTTCCACCCACACGTTGAGACCCTCAAACGTCCTCATTCCCGGCAACCAAACAGGAGCACGTGCAAAATGTTCCAGTAAGTTCTTGAAAGTATGAAATACACTTGAAGGGCCAATCAAATGTTTTGATGGGCCCTTACTAAGCACTTCATTCTGGACTTGCACACTGCTCTCACTTATTCACTTTAGTTGTCCACGAGGGAAGATGCACTCTGGTGTGTTGCGAAGATGTTGTAAGTCAAATGCTTGATATTGAATTTGATGACGGTGAAGACTATAATTTGTATAAACAATTCGGTGGGAATTTCCATGAACACGACGAATAAACTGTCAAATAAAAGATATGTGAGGTTTGTGTGTTGTTGTCCTTTAAGCACATAAGTTTTTGTTCCAGTCTCTTCAGATGGTATGGTACGGAAGACCCCATGTATACTGGGCTTGTTTTATGTGGTCTGTACGGAAGACCCCATGTATATTGGGCTTGTTTTATGTGGTCTGTACGGAAGACCCCATGTATACTGGGCTTGTTTTGTGTGGTCTGTACGGAAGACCCCATGTATACTGGGCTTGTTTTGTGTGGTCTGTACGGAAGACCCCATGTATACTGGGCTTGTTTTGTGTGGTCTGTACGGAAGACCCCATGTATACTGGGCTTGTTTTGTGTGGTCTGTACGGGAAGACCCCATGGGCTTGTACTGGGGAAGACTGTGGCTTTTGTGTGGTCTGTACGGAAGACCCCATGTATACTAGGCTTGTTTTATGTGGTCTGTACGGAAGACCCCATGTATACTAGGCTTGTTTTATGTGGTCTGTACGGAAGACCCCATGTATACTGGGCTTGTTTTGTGTGGTCTGTACGGAAGACCCCATGTATACTGGGCTTGTTTTGTGTGGTCTGTACGGAAGACCCCATGTATACTGGGCTTGTTTTGTGTGGTCTGTACGGAAGACCCCATGTATACTGGGCTTGTTTTATGTGGTCTGTAGAAATACTGCTCACTTCCGCCGGAAGCCCGCAAAACATCAGCACACTACATAAAGAGTAAAAGTGTAGCTGTATCGGCTAGTACTAACGGAAACCATAGCAACGAGACCGGAAGTGGTGTATAACAGGAATGCTTGTCAGCTTATTTGCGTGGGGAGGTCCTACTGGAGGTCCTACAGATGACATCCTCAACTTGTTAGCTTGTTAGCGTGGTTACCTATTTGTTAACGTAGGCAAGATGCCTGACCTCTGAAGAAGAGCTCCGTGATTCGAATCCCATCCTGTCTCACGGTATTCTAACATGGTTAGGGACGCTAAATCAGTCCAGGGTCTTGATCCACACACAAAAATTAGCGCTGGGACTTAAATCGGTGTTAACGTATACCAATTACGAGTCTCATATAGTGCGTACGGGGTTTTGTGGAACGGGGCCCAGATCGAGATCTTGTAATCAGTGGTATGTGTCAAAGATTAATATTCAGAATATTAGCTGAAAGGGTAAAACGATTCAATTCCAGATTCAAAGCCAGGAATGCAATTTGGCAGAACCTTGTCTCATCTTTGACGATGTTCCGAACCCTTGAACACTTCTGGGATAGCGTGACAATAGCGTCAGTTGTGGTTTGTCAGCGGGCAATCATTAGGTCGGCTATTGTCACTGACAGCAGAATAACTGCTGATGAGACAATGGGTTTTGTATATTATTGTTTGAACAGTTCTTTGAAGAATTGTTGCACTTGGTTACGGCGAGAAGTCTCAAATGGATTACGAACAGAATTCGTTACCGTCCAAAGCTGATGG